TAGCAGTGAATTGGGATTTAAAATTACAGCCTTTTCATGACCGGGGGAATGGTTTTATTCTGATAAAGGATCGTAATGCTGGTTTGGAAACTATTTTGTCACTGGCAGGTGAAGTTGGTGACTGAGCATGTGTTGACCATGTGCCGTCTTGTAATCTGCACTGACCGTTGGTCTTTGCCTTTTGGGCTTCAGGCAGTAGTGGAGCGGGTGGTTCTGGACCAGCTGGACCACAGCCAGGTTCTCGGTCCAATACCACGTCCATCCCCACCTTCAGGTGGCTTTAGTTCCTTTTTGACCTTGGGAAGGGTGGAGGAGTGGCCGATGGACTTCGCTGCACCAGTCCACCAAGACACCTGTTCAGTAACGCTCGTTAGTCCCCTGAAAGCTGATGAAGTCTAAGCACGTTCTTACGTGGCGTAGTGCTGGGTGGTCCGAGTTGTTGGCAGGTAGATGGGTACGCGAGGAGGTCGCCGTTGCTGTTTGGTGCACTGCAAAGGGCAGCTCTCCCCCTGCTCCCGAGGGCAGACATGGGGCTGTGCTCATCATGAGCTGGGGATCGGTGCCACCTCTAAAGATGTCCCACTCCATAATTAGAATGCTTGATGGGGCATCAGTTTGAAAGAAAATAGAAGTATCCCACAATTTCACACTCGGACCATGCAAAGTTGTTACTTTGGCTGCTCCCCGTGTTGTTTCGGTAAGACTAAAAAGCCTGAATAAAGGGAGACTGAAGCTGTGTGAATGAATACACTGTGACATATTTTTGTAAGGTGAATTTTTTTCAAGATTTAAAAAAAAAAAAAAAAAACAAAACCAAATACACAACACCCAAAGCCAGAACACCAGCTCCAGAGTTACCATTCTGGTTCTGCTATTAAGGTGCCTTCCCTTCCATGCTGTGTTCGTTGGTGTTAGTGATCAGCAGAATAGGTTGAAATGGAAATGTGCTTTCTTTTGGGGGATTAACTTACGTTGAAGTTAGTAGGAAGGGAAGGAAAGGGAAAAAGCATCGACCAGCAAGTAATTCTGCATGCTAGGTGCTATAGCCATCTTTTAAAAATAGACAGAAAACTCTTAAAGAAACTTCTGGCACTTTTAAGTAAAATGCACTGTTAGATATCCCTTCTTTAATGTATTTTTTTACCCTAACCATAGCAGTTACGATTGTTTTGAAATACTGTTTTTAGCAACTGTAATAACAAAGCATTAAAAAAAAAAATAGTCTTTTAACTGTTGAGGTAATGACTGAGCATTTTAGCTGCCGTGGCCGTGCTTTAGAGTTTGAAAAAATAACGATACGCAGCAATAAAGAGAGATTCTCAAGCACAACAAAAGCTGTTTTTATATACTGGTTTTCATTAAGTCTCACTCCTCAGCTTTGGTTTCCTTAGTTTTCCTGCCAATAACAACACCTGCTAAGTGATTGCTGCCTGCCAGGCTCCCCATCTAATGCACTGATGAGTCCAGGCTGAAACGGCAGAGGAAGACACACCATTCAACCAAGTTTTAGGCCCAGCGTTGGCTTTCGCTCCCACCCTCCGTGTCGAGAAAAGGAGTCTCTGCTCCAGAGTGCTTCAGTCCCAGGAACGCAGTGCAGACAAACCCTCAGCCCTAGCTGGGACCGGAGCGGCAGCGTCGGTGGCAGGGGAGCTGCTGCCCCGCAGCAGTGGGTATGGCCCTACCGTGACACTTGGAAATGTCTTTTTTTTTTTTGTCTTTTAAAAGTGTTTCAGGGTTGGGTTTTTTTAATGTGCAGCCACTATTGTCATGTAAAATGTTTACACAGAAAGAAATCAGGCTGAGCCCTAATGGGAGAGCCACTTACTGGAAATCTATTTTACAGGGTGAAGGAGAGGGTTACCTCTCTGCCTTGTTTATATCTAGAGGAAAAAGAAAAGAAAATGACTCAGTCTTCACCTTTAATAGGAAGACATGACTATTTCTTGAAAGAGAAGGTTAATAATAAAATCCTAAGCAGGATATTGAACACTGAAACAATTATGGCATTTATGATGAAGCTAAAACAGCATGAGGAACTGTTTTCAAGAAACCAAAACTGAACCAAACACCCAACAAGGCTCAGTGATGGAATTTGTAGAAATTCAGGACCTCAAACTGTTGGGGGCTTTGGGTTTTTTGTTGGCTTTTGATTTCCCCCCCCCCCCCCGTTTTGTGGGGGTTTTTTAGGGGGAAATTTGGTGGGGTTGTTTTCTTGGTGTGTTTGTTTTGTTTTGTTGGGATTCTTTTGTTGTTTTGTTTTTAAAGCTAGAGGAAATCCTCCTTCTCTCTATCTGCAGTACAAACAATACAAAACCACTTAACCCTTTGGTGGAAGGGCTGTCCTGTGGCATGCTCAGAGAGTGCCCCAGGTTGTGCCTTACTGCAGTGCAAGAGTTCTCGCTTGTTAAAGTGCAAACTCTGGGACTTGGGCTCCCTCCCCTCTGACAGCAGCGATACCTCATCCAAAAAAATTACAGTACGTGGGAAACGGGCTGTGTACAAAATACCAGCGCAAACAACTTTTCTAATCATAGTAACTTGTTTTTTAAATAGAAAATGCAAACAGGGAGAAACCGTGTTGAGTTTCCAGCAGGAAAAGAAACCCTCCCAGCCTGGTCCCTCCCTGATCTTTGCCCCGCACAATCATCCACGGCCGCTTTCACGTTTCTAATTGAAGCCAATATTAAGATTTAATAGTTTACCATTCAGATTAATATTTCAAGATGGCAACAAAACCAACGCCATTCATAATTTGTTCTTCTGCTCTAATTCACAACCGATTTTTCAGCCTTTGCGCTGTAGATGCAACAAAGAAAGCTGCAGCGAAGGTCTGCGGAGGGAGCGCAGCCCTCTCCTCCCTTACCCTCGCTTGTATTTTGGTAATGGCATCGGCAGGGATCAGACCCTGGCTGGACGAGGAGAGAGTGTCATCGAATAAAACACGGAAAAAGGAAAAACTTCACTAGCGATCGACAAGGTCGTGTTTCATTAACTTGTTGGTTCAGGCTCACAAACGGTCGGCGGAGGTGAAACGCAGCAGACTCGCTGCGTTCCAGCTTTTTGTTCTCTCTTTCCTCACAGACTGCAGTCATGTTTAATTTGGAAACTGGGCTCCTTTGGCAAATTAGCAATTAGAACAATTTTGTGGGAATATGTATATGTGTCATTAGTTTTCCTGCAAATTAATAGCGAGAGCAGAGGTCAGGCAGAAATTTTCCACTTGACTGCAGCTCCTCTGTTGAGATTTGGCACTTTGTTTTGGAACGGCCACAGCTGCTCAAAGCCACAGTCTTCCTTTAGGAACTGTCTTTTAATTAGTTTACCTCATAGCCATTATTACAAATATTACTGCCTCCCCTCCTTGAAATAAAATTACTGTTTCTACAAAATATTCCGGTGACATCTTGCACCACTGCACATTGATGATGGGGTCACTCGGATGCAGCGTTTAATCATTAGATCACCTCCATAAGCATCTCCTAATTAGAGTCCTTACAATACAATTTTATCTGGTAATTAGCTGAGATTGGCTGCTTCCTCTGTAGCTTATTAGTGGCAGCCCAGCAGTGGGTGTGAATCACAGTGTCATTTGTCAAGCCTGTTAAAGCCCCCCCCCTCCCTTTGCTCGTCCTCTTCTGTGTTGATTCCTAGTTGCTACCTACGCTGAAAAGCCTCAAGAAATGTAGCTTGATTCACGTTCTTTACGCAGGGAACGCTGACCTTTGTGGTTCCTTTCTCGCAGTTTCCTAGTAGAAACAGATTAAATGTTAAGTTTTTACACGCTCGAAAAGGAAGGGGACTCTTTTGAAATGGAGTAGTTGGGGCCGTAATGATGAAGCACGAGCGGTGATCTTTCCAACGGGAGGGCCCGGCTGCCGAGCCTGCGCTCCAGACGGGCCCTTCGAGTTGATGCGGATTTGCTCACAGTTATTGGGCTGTTAAAATGTCCATTTAGAAACTGAGATAAAATACAGTAGATTTAATTTCATGGTGAGACCTGTCAGTTGTACTGTTATTACCATCACTGGTTCTTTTATCATATGTAATAGATGGATAACAGGGAGACATGACTGTGTACGCATCCCTAATCAGTGTCCTTAAATCACGCCAGTCAACGAACGGACCCGGCTCTCCCCGGCGACACGTGGCAGCAGCGCCCGGCGCCGCGGGGTTTCAAACAGGCCTGCTCCCCTCCACGTTGGAGTGCGGGAGTCTGGGAAATCAGTACCCACATTTCACCGCCTTTGGCTGTCCCTCGCTGGGCTCGCGCTCTCCGGCCTCGCTGCAGAGCGTTAAGTACTTCGCTGGAAGGCGAAGCGTGGTTTGTGAGCACCTGCGCGGAGAAGCGGGTGTTGGCAGCGGTGCTGCTCGGCACCTCCTTTCCTCGGAGCCGTGCTTGCGCTGCTGGGCTGCGCCCGGCGTTTGTGGCTGGGGCTCCCCTCGGCTTCTCTCGCTGTCGGGAGGGGAGAGCAATCGCGATTATCTGTCGCTCAGCTGTGCCCTTTCTGTGGGCGATGGGCTTTTTGTGTTGGGACTCTTGCTGTAATATTAGAGCCCTTTATTTTCCACTACCTTTGTTTTGGATAAATCCTATTATTTTACAAAGAAATGCGGCTATTAACTCACAGGAGGGATGCTAATGGGAGTTTTCTTACCTGGTGACCTTCATAGGAGGAAAATGGATACAGTGCCCTATGGATAAACCTGAGATATTTGAGGGCATGGCTGAGTAGTGTGCCTTGCCTTCATCTGAAGAGGTTTAATGTCCAGCCAAAAAAAGACATTTTAATCACAAACAAAAGTTGTAAAATTCTGGGCTGTTAAATTCAGTAGGAATTTTGCTACCAACTTCAATGGGGTCAGGATTTCGCCAGTATTACTCGCAAAACCGCCTAAGGGAAGGAAATGTGGAAGTAGTCAAAGGGCCCTTTCCTCGGTCGTCTTTTCTGATGCTGTAGTTAGGAGATCGGATTGTTTGTTTAAAATACTTCAGCAG